TGCTCTCTTCTCCCCAGAAAAACCTGAGCTAACTTAGGCTGCTAGGGAAATGACCAAACTGTCTTCTCCAGTCAGACAGGTCCACAGGCTTTCCAGAAGGCTCTCTTGCACCATCTGGTAGAGATGTCTTCACTTTGCTTCGACTGGGAGAATCTCACCCACTTTCAAATGAATCATGGACATTTGAGCTCTGCAGGACTTCCCTGAGGCTCACAGAGCCCCCAGCCCCCCTGTTTTTGATTATGTTATACACCCGGGCTCGGGCTAGTTCTTCAGTGACTCAAGCCCAGGGTTTCCACCACTTCCTTTGCTGGAGAAGAAGTCGGTTTTTGGTTGCTCTGTTTTGTTGCATTGCTCCCAGTTATTGACACTTAGATCACTCTTAGAGAACTGCTTGCCCCAGACTCCCTTGGCAGCTCAATAAACTCACAGACAATGAGGCAGGAAGAAGCTATCTGACCCCTATCTTGGCAACCATGGAGCCAAATTACCAACATCTAAACTCTCCTACTGTTCCCTGAGAAGTCAGTTATTCTTAAAGTCTCTGCAGTATTAATTGCTCCTTAGAAAAGGAAAAGGTGTCCACAGGGCCTGATTAATTTTTCATGGTCAGAGGAACTTAAAAGTGTTGGGCTACCTGAACAAAGGCTAAGAGGCAGTGCAGGTCAGTCTTGGAGCTATGCTCCTTTGATTATTTCACTTTTTGGGTGGTGGGGCTATAAGATGGAGGCAAGAAACCAATAACAATTTAAGTGGATGGAGCCAATTAGAGATGACTACCTACATGTGGTAGTCATTTACAGCTCCAATCACCAGCAATTGAATTTCTCTGGGTCACTTCTACCAGCTGTAATGAATCTTCTATTATCAAAGTACGTAATCCAAATCGAGACTGGTCAGTGGCTGTGAGGCTTGCACCAGGGACAGGTGCATAAAGAGACGACCGCTCTAATGTGGTCTGGGCATTGTGAGAAAGAAAAGGAGAAGAGTGGTCTGAAACAAAACATGGTGGTGGTGGAAAGGGAACGGCAGGCCTCTGCCTTAAGGGAGAAAGAAGAACAGAGAAGGGTAACAGAGAACCTATGCGTGGCTGTAAGCCTCTTACATCCATTTCTTTCAATAGTCACTTCTCTCTAGAATCCACATTCATGCCTCCTGTACTTTTCTCAGTTTCCTGCCCAGCCCCAGGGAGTCCTTACCCCCCGCTGTCCCAGGCACATTGGGTTGGTGAGAGTAAAGGGGGAGATTCTAAACTGCTTACAGTGGTGAGTGGGGAAATGTGTTCCTGGCACCCCACATAGTACAGTCAGTGGATGTCCTATCCTGCAAGGACACTGTGAGTTGACTCACTCTGGTGGCCTGGGCTTGAGAGTCTAAGCACCACAAACAATGCTACTGTATGGGAGTTCCCAATAACCAGCTGACAAGCTTAGGGATTGCTCAGGGCAGCAAGTGCTCTCCGAGAGGCAGGCATTGCACCCAAGTAGTCAGAACTGCAGTGCTGTTATTCTCTACTTCCTGTTTTGAGCTGCCCAGCTCTGACTAGGGGGTATGCTTCCACTGGAGAGGGCCATCTACAGGGAGGTGTGAGGGAGAGGTCAATTCTTGTTTTAGTGAAACACACTGCCAGGAGAGAAAGTTGCAGCAAGCAATACTTCTAATGCGATGAATGCTCAGAAATGGTCTCTTTTCAGTACTTTTTATATGAAGCAAGGTATACCAGGACAGGAAATGAGCCTCCCTGCCAGCTATAGTGCAAATGATGGGTGGGGGGAAGTCTCAGGAAGGGATCTTCTGTACTTAAACCCATCCTGCTCTGCTATATTTGATAGATCCCCCGAAATTCACCCATCACGAGTCACTCATGGTTGTCCCTAAAGGTCACAAGGATTGCCCCCCACCCGTTCCTCAGGCTGAGGGTTTCTCTGCTGGGGGTGGCTGGGGAAGGGGGTCTCTAGTTTTGGGATTGGGTAACTAGGGACAATGTAGGCCAGAAATTTAAGAACATAGTTCATTCTTTTCCCAAATGTGTTGGGGAGGGCCACTGAAAATCATGGCGGCCTCTCTAAGCTGACAGTGGACGACGCTAAAGGAACCTGACAAACGAGGGGTAGTGGAAAGCTAGAGAAGGGGTCGGTATCACGTGCTAGCTCCTGCTAAACAGCCCCTCCTTCTGGCTGGACAGAGCAGCCCAAAGCAGAGAGAACTGCGTGTTCTGTACACTAAGAGCACTTGCTATCACAAGACGTTACGCTCCTTTTCTTGGTGAGTGGAGGTGGCAAAATCACTGAAATCTAAGATGAAAGAGTTCCTTCTTTGCTTGCTCCCCCCACCCACTCCTCCTGCCTACATGGGGCAGGGGACAGTGATCAGGTGGGGCTGTGGTTTAGATCAGAAGTGAGATTCCCCAGGGCAGGAAGGAACTTGCGCCCCAGGGGTGTGGTGGATGGGCCAAGGTGGGGGTGCAGTGGGAGGAGGGGACTTGGAATGCAGTCATGGTCAAGTCATCAAAATGGAGAGTGTGAGCAGGCGCGCAAAGGAATCGGGCTGAGCAAGGAGGCAGAAAATGCTGTGGAATCCCCAGTGACCTGGAAGGGAGGGAATGCACCGTTTTCCCGAGCCTCACTTCAGAGGCCTCGCTTGGCATATTATATTCTGATCTGGGCCCCTCAACCACTTCCCACTATTAGGAGGCGGATGTTTTAAATTAGAAACAAAAGGAACAAAAAGTAATTTACAGAGGCCCGGGAGGGTTAAACATAAAACCTATTATATAGTTATATAATTCCCAGCGCAGTCAGCCTATTCTTTTTCCCATGAATGGTGAGATGGGGATTGAGTGATGGTGTGAATCCTGAGGGTGTTGGGAGGATGGTCAGGACATGGCTGAGAAGAAGACACTTTCTCCTTCTCATTCCTGAGGGTGTGTTCTTAGTGGCCTCCACACTCAAGCAGCAAGGAGTAGGCATAATGGCAGTTTCTAAGAGGGCCAAACTGATTATACACACGGCTTTCTGACCTAGATGGCAGATATCCTATTACTTGCACTTAACATGGGGCAGCCTGGTGACTAACTGACTGGGTTGGGTTGGCAACAGCTACTCAGTTTCATATAATAAGAGTTAATACTAATAATCACAATCAAAGCAACTCCCTTAGTGCCTGCCATGTGCCAGGCTCTGTGCTAGGAGTTTTACGCATACGATCCAATTTAACCCTCAGAGTTCCCTGTGTAATTAGCATTGAACTCATCACTTCATGTGGGAGGAAACTGAGACTGAAAGCTCAAATAACTTTATATGATTCTAACTCAGCCTCTGTCTAATTCCGAAACCTCTTTTTCACTGTGCATTGAAATCTAGCAGAAAATTGTGGAGGTGTGCAAAAACCTGAGAAAAAAAGCAAAAATGAATTTGAATGTGTGGGGAGAGTATGAATAGCAGATGTGAACATTCCAAGTTCTCCCCTGAGGCGGCAAGATAAACTTCATGATTTTTGTCATTCACAGTTAAATTGGACAAATTCCCTCAGAATAGCCTGGTTTGGAGGGAAGTGCTTGGAATGGGATGGCGGGCAGGGCTTGTGGGAGCAGGTCCGGGTGGACTGTGGAAGCCAGTATCTGCCTCTCATTCCTGGCCTGTAAAGAGCAAGGCACTCCAGTGTTTCCTGAGCAGAGATAAAAGGCACCTGAAATGTTGGAATGCCAGTCCTAGTGCTCTCCAATAAATACTCCATATAATAGGAAAGTGGCTGAAGCACATGCAAAGCTTCAATTAAATTAGGTGGAGTGAGTGAGAGAAGTGGGACAATTGCAGGATGTGCACAGCTGTCTACTCCCTAGGTGGGGACGCCCACAGGTCCACCCTGCCTAGGGCGTGTAAAAGCTGGCGCCCTTTCCTTTGAAGTCCCAGGGAGCCAGCTTGGCATCTAACTGTCTTGGGCGTGATAAAAAGCACTCCTGTGGCTGACATAAATCAGATAGCCTCCCATATGCATCCTTCACACTTCTTTTATTTTCTGGGTTTTATGATCAATAGGCTCTCTTTTTCTTCCCTGCTGAAATTATGGCTGAACGCTTTTGTTTATCCATGCACATTCTATATTCCTAATTCTCCCACCATGGTGATTTATGCACTTGCCTTTCTTCTGCATTGGCTCCTGAAGGATTGGGATTTGCATAAATGTCATGCACAGGTAGAAGGCATATTTGATGGTATCTCACGCTGCATACTTCTAAAGTCCCCAGAACTGTCACATTGAGTCGTAGGAAATATAACACTATGCCCCAGACCAATAGCAGAGTCCCTGCTATGTGGTACACACAGCCCAAAGGCTCAGGTGCAGTGACTCAAGTCTGAAAGGGTCAATAAGTGGGTGATCAGACTATTTAAACTGTAATTAGATGATTACAATTATTGAATACCAAAGAGCATTATAATAAAAGAAGTTGTGGCTTTCATATCTTATATCTCACCCAGGATCAAATTAGTAGCCTATCAGGCTATGGGCATTGAGTAATAGCTGCTATTTTGTGTAAGGCATCCATTTCTATTAAAACGGGGTGAGCAGTTTGACAGAGGCAGGGACCCTTCCCTAGTGGAAAATGGAAATTTATATGACATTGTAGTACTGGAAATAATAGTTTTCAAAGGCCCTTTAAGAAATCCAAGTCCTACTTTTGGCCTCTAAACCACAAATGAAATAAAATTTAACAGTTATAAAATGTTGTTCCTTTTTTGAAACAGGCTGTTTTAGAGAGATAGGTATATAAATACCTGAGATGCAGACTTGTGTTTATATTTAGGTATATGTAAAAAGATGAACAGGTACTGAGGTTACCAGGCTAAGTGTTTTCAGGAATTCCTGATGAAATTGTGATGGTTTTTATTGCAACTCCTCCTTATTTTAGCAGATAGTCCACCTGTGTGCGAAAGATGAATTATCTGATTGAATCTGACAGTAACGTTTTCTTTCCCATTTGTTTTCTCTTTTCTTCTCAGGACTCTCTGTACTTGCAAGTCACCAGAAAGCCAAGATGTTGGTATTACTGGCTGGCATCTTTGTGGTCCACATCGCCACCGTCATTATGTTATTTGTTTCCACCATTGCCAACGTGAGTAATGTTCTTCCATTTGTTTGTTTGTTCATTTATTCATTCATTCATTTAGAAATTGCTGAAATATTTACATAAAGTGCTACAAAAGACGTTTAAGCCACAATCACTGCCCTCCGATTTTCACTTAGTTGTGGAAAAAGATAAACACACACTCATACTTTAAACAACTAAATAACAGGAGGCTAAAAGCCAGTATCTACGTATATGAATGAGCCCACCAGGCTGTAGGCATCTAGAGACTGGAGAACGTCATGAGGCTTCTCAGCTGAGGTGGAGCTTTGAGGACTGGTAGATGGGTGGGCTTTCTCTTGGCATAAGATAAATGGTGGATGGAGCATAGGGATATATTCCAGACAGAAGTGCTAGCCAGAGGGCCCAAGTTGGGAAGGACAGGCTTTGTTTAGGTCATAATGAAGACACCCAGGTGGCAGGAGTAGAACTTCCCTTCCTTCTGGGGACCTTGATTAGAAGGAGAGATGGGAGTGAGATGATGAGAGGCTTTGGTTGCCAGATGGATGGATTCAAGTTCTGAGGGGAGGGTAGCATGTGAAAACGGAATTTTACCAGGTTAACCTGCTTTCACTGAATTCACTCACTCAAATAAAACAACATAAAAATACCACAGCGGTAGCAAGTCTTTCTCGGATCCTTGGGCTACTCTGCCCTCTAGTGGTAGGTAGCTTGTAGCTTCCAATTTGCTTTTCTTGTGCTTTTCTCAGAAAAAGTAAGACGGCTCCTTGGACGCAAACACCAAGGCCAACAATCGCTAGGTAGGCAGATGATGGTTCCAGAATCTGTTTAGGTTGATGCTACAATTAAAGGATAAATGGGTTTAAAAGTTAAGATAGAAGAGTTTTGCCAACACTGGTGCATGTCATTGGAAGCAAGGCTAATTTAAGTATGTCTGTGATACGACAGAACACTTGCCCGTGCAGCCTCCTGCGGACTGTAATTCAGACATTCTGTATACCAATCCCTGAGTCTCTTAGGATAACAGGTCTGATAAACGACTTCACATGATATCAGTGGATACCAAAGTGCTGATTATTGAACCCAGAGCAGGCAATGGCTCATCCTTTGCCTTGCCTTTCCAGTAACATGCATTTTAACGGACAACTCTGTGTGGACCGAGCTGGGTGTTTTCCATCTCAGTAGGATAACTGTTTTTCTTGGGCCAGGTACGAAGGGACGCTGGCACTGTGGTGAGACTCAGGAATATATTCTGGTCGCTCTTCTACTTTTAGCTGCCCCCATAGTAAAGCTCTTGCTGTACTGTTTTACAATGAAATTACTTTGCACGTTGTGACAATCAAAGTTTGATCATTCTGTTTAGATGAAAGTGGCTTATGAACCACCCAGACTCACTGGTACTTTCTTAGTTACCCTTGTGTTTCTCAGTTGTCTCCAGTTGAATATTTTGCTTTAACTTTTTTTCCCCCTTCTTAGCCAGACCCTTACATGAAACAATCTTGACAGAGTGTATGAATTATGCATACTTAAAACCAATTTCCTCATCCAGGGTTTCCATTTCTTAGAACCTTAGAATTTTAAACCACTGTGGTTGAATTCCTTTTTTTTTTTTTTAAGTGATTTGGAAAGTGAAGCCCAGAAAGGTTAGGCGATTTTCCCTTGGCCACACGTTCTTCTCTCTTTTTTCTCTTGGGACTTTTGTGACTTCAATTTTAGCTGAACCTTATTTCCACCAAGAGATGGGTTGCTTAATCATATTTGTGGCTAAATATGGTGTCTTGATTAAGATTTCGTCCTGACAAAAGCTTTTTTTCTTTTAAAGCAGAGGGTCCGTTTTAAAACAACCTTTTGTTTCCTACTGGTTTCAGGTCTGGGTGGTTTCCGATTATGGAAAAGCCTCAATAGGTCTTTGGAGAAACTGTACCGACTTGAACTGCGATGGAGCCCTGCCATACGCCAATGAAGGTATCTGTAAAGCTATTGTATTCAGTGCTGACAATTCCTGTGACTGGGGAAGTGTCCAGCCTGCCAGGGACTGGGCAGCCTGACACCCTGCTCTTCTCACCCTGTGTCCACAGATGCGCTCAAGGCAGTGCAGGCCTTCATGATCCTCTCCATCATCTTCTCCGTCATCTCCCTCGCGGTCTTCGTGTTCCAGCTCTTCACCATGGAGAAGGGAAACCGCTTCTTCCTCTCGGGGGCCACCATGCTGGTGTGCTGTGAGTATCTCAGGAGCAGACTGCAGTTTACGCAGGCAAAGCCTTTATGTAAAACTTACCACGGGTATTCCCGGCAACTTGAACAGATGCACCCATAGCTCAGGGAAACAGCCTTGTACAATTCTCTCCTCTGGTTACTTGTTCTCTTTTTAGGACCCCCTGATCACTGCTTGGAATAAGAACCCTCATGGGTTTCATTGTTTAAATCTAGTCCCGAGTGCCGAGGGGCACGCTCATTTAGTATTAGCATTTGTGTACAAGATGCTTGAAGAGGCCGGGCAGGTGGGAGTCCTGGGAAAGAGGAAACCACTGCCACAATGCTCGCAATTGTTGCCATTTACATTCTCTTGTCATTCTTCCCGAGTACACACATTTGGTGGAATACCATGTTCTTTTGCATCCCCGGGAAGATGGCCTATACGTGCTGGGGTCCAGATGGGAAAGCTGGGTGCTGGACGTGAGGTTCTGGGGTTCACTTCACACTTGTAGCCACGCAAGTCAGTGCAGATGTGAGAGCCCCAACACCTGTAATTTATCATCAAGCCTGGTTCAGGGCAAATCAACGGAACTATTCTTCGGGGCCCAACAGCTAGATTTCATTTTCTCATTGTAGATGAGGGAAATAGGATCTTTTAAAAATGATAAAGTCTTGGTTTTAATGTAAACAAAAACCGAACAATAACAACAGCAGCAACAAATGAAAACCCTAAACATTTTTTTCCTCCCCCTGCAGGGCTGTGCATTATGGTTGGTGTGTCCATCTACACTCATCATTATGCAGCAGGTGATGGCATCTACGCTAAGAGTCACCATGGCTATTCCTTCATCCTGACCTGGATCTGCTTCTGCTTTAGCTTCATCATTGGCGTCCTCTACCTGGTCCTGAGAAAGAAATAAGGCTGAACAAGCTTATGGGGATCTGGGGGGTGGGGAGGAGGAAGCCGTTGAATCTGGGAGGGAAGTGGAAGTGGCTCTGCAGGAAAAACCAAGAGGGAGGGGGGCGGGGGAGGGAGAAGTAAGGGTGGGAGAGGTTGAAACCCAAACCATTACCGAGGAGGTTCTCTACTGTCAAGCCCCTGCCCTTGGGAGAAAGCAGTTGGCTGGAACTTTGATGTTCTCTTGATTGGGCCTGAGAGCCTCTCTCCAGCCACCAGACTTGGCCTCCAGCTGTTCTCAGTTACACACACTTCCTGGGGCCCCATCAGCTGCCACACCACGAGCTCCACTTCCAAAGGTGAATGCTGGGTCTCGCACTGTGGTCCTCAGACCTACTGCACCAAGTTAAAATAGCGGTACAAGCTCTGGCAAGAGCAGATATTGTTTTTGTACTGAATATACTAAGCCTGGAAGCCCTCCCGCCCTCCCGACCCAAAGCAAAACATCACATTCCAGTCTGAAGGGCCCACAGGAGGGCTTTGGTCAGCGAGCCAGCATCCCTCTTTAGAACAGATATTTAGCTCTGTGGAATTCAGTGGTATTTGTGACAAAATGGGAGGAAGAAATACAGTCATAAAGCCAAGTTGGTGGGTTAGCCAAACCAAGAAAGAGAACTTTTCACAATGGAAGACCTGGGGGATGGTCAAAACCCAGACCAGACCTCACACAGCTAGCTATCCCTCATGGAGACCTCTTGTTACGGACTTTGCTAGGCCGCTTGTTTAAAGACAAGGCAGCTCTTCTGGAATTTCTGTAAAGCCACTAACGACCAATTCTGTGGTGAAAGCACCACACAAATTATGGGATCAGGGGCAGTCTTGCAACAGTGTTGTATTAGGGTTATGATTTTAGGATTCCCCTTTCCATGCAATCAATGTTTCTTTTAGGTATATAATGGGAGAGAGGTGGACATAGCCCCTAGTAACACAATCTGTTACTCTCCATCTAGATGATAAACTTTTGAGGAAGTTTTATCTAATTATCCATACTGGGGATCAGGGCTCCTGGTCTCTATGGCATCTCTAGCTTTGACACTGGCCGGAGTGGCCACGTTTCAGAGGCCCTACATGTCCTGCTTCATAGGTGAGGCAGGGCAATACTGAAACACACGAACCAAAATCAAACAACAGATCTTTGGGTGAAAGGTGCTATGTAATTGTAAAGTAGTAAGCATACTAGGTTTCAATCATGATAAGAACAGAGTGCCTGTGCCCCCAGGAAAATAACATTCCCATGAGATAAATAAAAATATAGGTGATGGGCAGATATTTTCTTTAAGAATCAAAAGAAGGGAACAAACTCTTGTGGTACGTAGTCAGATAATTGATCTGTCTGTTGCCGCAAGAGAATTTCTATATAGGACCTAAAAGCAGTATGTTATTCCTGGTTAAGCAGGCATTTCCCTGGTCTGGAGCAGCTATTTTAAGCCATTTTGGATTCTGCCTAAAGGGTTAATTGTGGGAAGACATTTCCTTTATCACCCTGAGAAGATCTACCCTAGGGAGAATCTGAGACACCTTGCCTACTTTCCTTCTGCCAGCTCTCTCCTCATCCCATTTCTTATATACTTTTCCTTTCTGGGGGAGTTGTTATGCCATGATTGCTGGTATTTATGTAAAAAGACTATTACTAAGTATATTTCTCTATGTTAAGGAAATGTTGAGGGCAGGCCACGAAATCCTCTGGGCTGGGGTAGAGAGGGTGGCAAGCAAAAACTGTGGGATGATAAACTTTTTAATTATGATTTAATTATCACATGATTATAGAAGGCTGTCTTATGTGCAGAAGCATACTTACATATCAGATATATCCAAAAGAGATACTCGCATTATGTTAAAAAATTCAAACTATGACTGGAGTGAACCGTGTATTCCCTTGTCTTTTACTTTGTTTCTGTGCCATTTATGTCTCATGTAATTTGCATTACATTGGTGGGTTGTTCTAGTACTGTATTTGGCTTCTTCTTTAATAGATTGATATTTCATATACTATAATTGTAAATATTTTGATACAAATGTTTATAACTCTAGGGATATTAAAACAGATTCTGATTCCTTTCACTGGGTGAATGTTTTCTTTCACAAAAAGTTGGGAAATATGGATAATAATGACTTTTATTCCTAATTAAGTTGTCAATTAGTTTGATTTGGACAATTTGGCTTTTACTCGAGACATTAAGCTACTTTCTGTTAATACATTAGGCATTTCTACAATAACGCAGGCAATTGAATGTTATTAAGTATAGTTTTATCTTGTTTTAATTAAACCTCTTAAGCACAAAATAGAATTTCATAAGTTAATACATTAGAGAGAGGTTATGATTTTGAATCAGAATGGCTATGACATTAAAAAATGAGATACTTGCAAAGTCTTTGAAATAGCCAACTCTTCTAATGTGTCTTCAATTTATAAAGCAATTCACAAGGTATGCATCACACACATTTGCAGGAGTCCATTCATTGCATAAACTGGGGCATATCTGTATGGGCTCTTTGAGGAAAAGAAAGTTTTACTGTTTTCTGTGAGCCATAAGGACTGGACTCAGTGGTCGACAGCAGAGTAGCTCTGCCCCAGCACAACGTCAACACCAAGATAAGAATGGTTTTAATGTGGAGTAGGCAACATTCCACGCCCCTGTGATCTTAGATGAAATGACTACACAGACTAATGCAAAACAAACAAACAAACAAAAACAAAAACCAAAAACACAATGGAAACTGAAAATAAAACTTCAACATATTTTAAATTCAATTAATCAAATTGCATTGATTATGGATACCCTCTCAGAGACCTATACAATTTCTTTGATTGCTTCTGGGATACCATTATAAGAGGCTACTCATCTCACTTAGCTCTACCAGGGATTCTTTCCCCCATGTCATATGCCCAGCCATGGACCAGACCTCCAGAACATTCTTTCTTTCCTTCTGCCTATAGGTCTTTTGTCAGAATCTCCAACAGACTCCCAACACTACCCAGGTTGTCCTGTCCTGCCAAAATGGAATCTTCTACCTCAAAGAACTGGGTGGTGAATGGGGGTGTATTACTTGTGATTCTCCGGAGACACAGAAGCAATGAGATATCTATATCATCTCTATCTCCATCTGAATTGAGCCCAATTGAATTAAAGTGGTTATTTAAATACTCAGGTGAAATTGGTCCAAATTATGAGTATAGGGAAGATGAGCTACAGAGCTCTCCATTACCACTCAAAAAAAGGACCTGTGATTAAATGACAAATTATTCATTAGTTGAATGGTTAATAGAGAGCGAAACCGCTGTGCTTTGGATTCAGCCATTACAGTCCCTGTGTGAAACTCTGCTGGCTTTCAGGCACAGAAAAAAAGTATTTCAGAAAGGCCTTGAAGGCATATGAAAATTAAGAGGATATTGTGCAGGACTCCATACTTCAAAAGAGAAGCTGTCTCCTGTTTAGTAAGAAATAGCCAGAATATACCGATATACAGATAAAATGCTCATGCAAAAAAAAAATGTGTAAATTAGTTTAAAAGAAGGCGATATCTTGGGGAACAGAGGGAATTGGGTCAGGTGGTGGTGGCAGGATGAAAAGAGAACTGTTAGAAATTTTGGAGTGTGTTCTGAGGAGGAGTGATCCATTTTTAAAGATGTGTTTGTAGTCCAGAGGAGCAGGCAGCTCTTGAGCACAGAGCAGGTAGGGCAGGCTCCATGTTGACTGCATGCAACCCAAGGAAAGGAGCATTTGGAGTCCCATAAGGGAACATGTGGGGCCTGTGCGTGGGCAGAGGGTGACTATTAACACATGTATTGATAAACTACTAGGTGCTAGCTGTTGCACCTCGAGACTGGGGAATGAAAGATCAAGCAAAGGTGTTTCCTGTCCTCACCCAGCATACAATCTAGTTTGGGGGTAAGTCTCCTATCTAGAGAAAATGGAAAGGACTCTGGAGGAGCACAGAGGAGATGGGGAACTGCCACCTCAGGGAGGATAGAGGAAGGATTTTCAGGTTTTCAGCCCTCCCTTCCTCATGGCCATTATCCCACCCCACAAGCAATTACCTGACGACTCCTGTGGATTTCACCTCTGTTGCATCACTTATCTGCGCAAATCTTCCTGCCTCAAAGGCCACTCCCTTGTTCCAGGTTTGCATTGTCTTCCATCTGGATAACTGCAGGTGGGAAACATTCCACCGGCCTCCATGCCTTCCTTGATAGTCTCTCCGGCCTGTCCTCTATGCTATGTCAGGATGGGTGTTGATAGATCCTTTGGCCACTGCCAGGGAGCCAGCCAATCCAGGCCTGGGAGGACCAGAGCTCCAGCACAGGGTGCCAATGTGTATAACCTCATGGTAGGCTGCAACTCAGTCTTCTGGTTAACTGCTGATCTACGAGGGCTATAGAGGGAGTCCCAAATCAAGAACAACTGTCTGCATATGGCCAATGAGGGACTTTATTATATTAAGAGATAAATTGAACAAGAGGGTGGGGAATGGGAGAAGCAAGAACAAACTGTTGAGCTCTTCCCACTTTAGGAATGAGTAAGTTCCAAAAGTGATTTTCCTAAATTGGTTGTTTGCAACTCAGAGCATACTTTTCCATAGAGACAACTGAGGGAGCTATTTTACTTATTATATAGGAGGTGGGAGGTGGGTGAGAGGGAGTGAATATGGGTCCATATTCAGGAGACTTAGCTGCCGGAGGGCTAGGGAATCACGTTCCTTGAATGTATTCAGAGTTTGCTATTGAATGTAGGAGAACATGGTGGTTAGCATGACTCTGTCTGACTATAAATATACATATGTGATTTTACAAACTGGGTGTTCTTAAGCTAAGACTGCCTGTTCCACTCTCTTGATCTCATAATTCAAAACATCTTAATTTTCCCATTGATATTAGCAAATCAATGGCTTAAATCCATTTTACCTAGGAACTTTAGAATGATTCCAATTAGTGTACTAATTGACGGGCTTTTGGACATTAGGAAATCTTACTATTTTAGCTTGATTTCACAACTTGTCCTCCCTCTCATAAAATGCTAACATAAGGCACATGTATTTATAATTTTGAAGGTGAATCAAAATTAAATCTGTATTGAGTACTTGGGTACTATTTTGCAGTAGCTCTTGAGGTTAGCTAGGCATTGCAAAATCAAGTTTGAGAATTATACCACTGGATTTATGAGTGTAATAGATTACACTAATTAATCTGATATTTGGTTGCCTTGTTTTAAAAAAGTTAAAATTCTGGCAATAATATTTATATTCAGATTTCTTGCCATAAATCAAGTTATCAGATTTACTTCCACAAGGCATACTTGAACTGACTCTACTAATTTCTTGCTCTAGAATAATTACAATACTTTACTTCTCATTGTATTTATTACTTGTCAGAGCTCCTGGAAGGACAGATAAAAAATAAATGCAGATAGCTCTTAATTATTCAATTTAAGTTCATTTCAGTCACCCACTCCCAGGACTTTTCTCTAAACCTTCCCATTCCTAGAACCGCTCTTTCTGACATGGAAGAAGAAGCCCCCCTTTTTCTTTCTGTGGTAAACACCCACCACCACCATTTTTTTTTTTAAATTATAGGCTGTTTTAGTTCCTCAAGGATGCTTTCTGACATACCCCTTTTCCCTGTATCTCCAATCTCTCTACTGGAAATTTTCTCTTGTGAATAAAATATGTTTAATCCTATTTTAAGCAAAACAAAACAAAATGCTCCTTTCTACCTTAGTACTTTACCTCTTGCTGTCTCTTCACATGTAAGCTTACTGAAAGTGTGGCTTATTATATAAGTCTCCACCAGGCCCCCCTCTTGACATTGTGGGGCCCCAGACAGAGCACAAATGGAGCCTGAACACTGTATGGTTAAATATTTAAAAGTTATATATCAGGGCCGGCCGAGTGGC